ACTAAATAACCCCAGTTCCCTCAGCCGCTCCTCATATGACTTGTGTTCCAGACCCCTCATCTTGGTGGAAAACAAAATTTCGCTCTGAGGATGAGGATCTGGTTGAAAGAGGACTTGTTGCGAGACGCCGGCGCGTGGCTGCAGGCTCGGTGGCCTGGAGGGTTTAGCGTCTGCGGTTGGAGCGTTCCTCTCCCACGCCGCACCCGGTCCTTGCCGGCGCGGGCCCTCGTCGGCTGCAGCGGCGTTCGCACGTGATGAAAGGCGTCTCGCGCGCTCGCGTGCCTGCGTACGTTTTGCAGGCGGCCTGATCTAAAATTGGTAGCGTTCTTTTGCCCCTAAAAAGATGCCACAAAATTAACTCCGTGAAAAGCAATTGCCTTTTCTTGCCGACACAATTAGAGCGGATTGTCCATTCTTCTCCAAAGTTCAAGTGTGACGATCATAGCTTTTGCAAACGGGCTCTCAAGGCTGCAGGACCAGATGCGCCGAGCTCCAGCAGCGTCTCCCCGCCCAGCGTTGTGATTCTCCTCTCCCTCCTTGCAGCAAATCCGCAGAGAAATTAAATGGCCATTTGATTTCCTCCTTTCTTCCGCTCTGTAGTGTTCCTGTGTCTGATCACGACAAAAAGCCTCTGGTTCCTGCGGCCTTCCCAAAGGGACGGCTCGCGATGTTTATTTTGAAGGGGTGCTATCTCCGTGGTGGGTGGAGAGGGCCTGGCAACGCTCGGTGGAGAGGAGTCAGGTCAGGGAGGCAAAGCTTTCGGGGGAGGTGGGTCGCCAGGTATCTACAGAACCTGCCCTTGGGCTGGGCTCATAACTGCCCGTTCCTTTTGGATAGCTCGGCGACAGATGAGTTTTGACGTTCCAGTGACACTAATCCTGTGGATTGGCCATTTCTCCCTCGAGCACGTGAACGAGTAGTTTGCGTATCCTCGTGGGTTGTTTCGTGTGACTCAGTTTAGTAAGAGGAACTTTACGGGCTGGCAGTGCGGGCATCGTGAAATTTACTCTTTCTCGGAAGGCATCTGTGCCAGCGGCCTGTACAGCGACTCGGCAGCGCCGCTGCTCGTGGTAAGAGTACCCACGGCTCGCGTTTTGGTAGGGGCCGAAGCATCGTGCTCGCGAGCGCATGTTTTTCCCTATTTTCTCCCTGACGCTCCGCTCTATCCTGGTGTGCTACGAGTGGAGAAAGGATTGACTTTGGATGTGACCGCTGCACAAGAGCCAAGGTCCCTGGGCTGTGTCCAGCTGAGAGGAACTTGCCTGAAGCACAATTTACTCACTACGTGTCTTTGCAGCCTTAAAAGCAAAGGCTGCAGCGGTCTGAGGCAGAAAGACGAGTGCAGAAATTAATTGCATAGGTTCCAGCCAAAGCCATTCCTCAAGCGTTGCTTCCCGCCGTCCCACTCCCCCTTCCCGTAAGCGTAACGTACAGCGTCACTTTTTACCTGGCACAGAGGTGCAGTCCCTGAGGCCAGAGAGCGGCTTTGGGTGATGAAGGACGCGTGCCTGGCGGGGTTTTCCCTTCCCCTCACCTTGCCGATACCGCTTTCAGCTGTTACCGTTGCGTACGTACGTTGCGTACGCGCGGCAGTTCACCCGAAGCCCACCTCGGAGGCTTCCACGTTCCTCGTCCCCTCCCTCAACAGCAACGTCTCGTACTCGAGATCAAGGCAATCCAAACTCCGAGTCAGGTCTTGGAGTCCCTCCGTTACGCGCCTCGAGCGCCGGGGCGAGGGGCTGCGCTTTGCGTTGGACTCCCCAACAAGAAACCGTTGGCTGATGCAAGGAGAGCGCGGGGCTTTCGTAGCCCCTCCACGTGTAACAGATGAAGAGCTGTCCCGTCCAACTCTGTTGGGCTTTTTTCCCCACAGGCCCCCCTCGTGCCCTGCCCGCCCGAAGCGCTGCTCGCTGGCAGGTGATGTCGAGCTGGGGCCAGCGTAGCTCTCCCCTGCCTCTCTCAACTTCTGCGGTTCTGCCTTGGGTCCGTAAACGTCATCCCCCCCTCCAGCCTTTCCTTTTCCGTCGCAGCGTGTTGTAACGCGTCTCCTTTAATGCTCCTCAAAATACTTACACGCTGCCAGTGAATATGTACCGAGAACTT